TGTCGCACGTTTTGGTGGGTCTGCACACTTAAATTTACTCTTACCTTTTAAAAAGTAAAGGTAATAATATTAGTATAAACCCTGCAGGATGAAAATTATTACCCTGTTGCTTGCTGTTGTGATTATATTGTTTTTATTTCTCACCTGTAAAATGTGTCACATTTCTAAAAAAAATAAAGTTAAATAGTTCAATTAAAAACATTAAAGGACATCACTGGCAATGATGTTCGAGCTGTAAGATATTTTTTTCAAATATTTTCAAAGAATGCTTGCTTGAATTTTGTAACCTAAAACAATCATGGTTTAGGAACATACGGTCTTCTTTTAAAAACGTGTGACTGAATTTTAGTGCTCATTAGAGAGAAGCTTATAATAGCTCTGGCTGGAACTGAGCGCAGTGCAGACAGGTTCTGTGTATATTCCTCCACGTAACTGTGCCAGTGCACCTCATCCTGACCTATAGCACTTTGCTATTTTAGTCCTGGGCTGCTTTTGAGAGAGACTGACAAGAGTGCTAAGTTATATAGAGGTTAATTGATATGGGTAAATGTCCACTAGAATTTTTGTTGAAACTATCGCTCTTCTTTTCTCTAATGGTGTATTATCTTTTGCTTTGCAGACTCCAAATCTGTTTGGAAAAAAAAAAAAAAAGTACATTTTGACCCACTTCAATATTTATTCCAGGGTGTTCCTAGAATATGTCATTCCCTATCTACCTCTTTTAGAATAGACTGTACTGTTTTTATTGTTCAATTATCAATAATACATTCATTCCAGTAGCTTTATAATGCTATGTGTAATTCGTAATTTGCCTCCTGACTTCTTAATATGTTGGAAATACAATCGGGAGAAAATCCTGTTTCTTTCAACAACTTAATAAACAGCAAAATGAAGAAATAAGCTGCATGTGTATTGCGCAGTCTACTTTACACTTTCAAACCAATAACTCAGCTCTTCAGGAACACTTTCCAGTCCCCTAAGATATTTTGTCCCCTTAAAGAAGATGGGTTATTCTCAATTATAAATCAAGTTAATGTGGGATTAGTAAAGGATGCAGACAAGATAAAACATTAGGAATATGTTGATGAAATATGAAAATTGACCAGCACAACATGTACATAACTTAAAAGGCATGACAGAAACAAAAAAAAAACCCCTTTGGAATGATTCCCAGCCTTCTGGAGGAAAGAATGTATGTCTGTCTTGGCAGCTTGCAGCATATTGGACCCTAAAACTGCAGCAACTTCATACAGAGAAAAGTTATTTTAGAGGCTTTTAAAAATGCATTAGACCTAGTTTTTCTTTCACTGCATTGCCTGTACATGCGTGATAAATAAAGCAAGCCTACTTCACAGGCAAAAAAGATCAGAAAAAATAATTCTTAAAACAACTTTTCCCCTCTTAAGGTTTCTGTAAAATAGTTTTTCTCCAAAATGCACAGCAGAAGTAACCATATGATGTGAAAGGATGGCAGAAAGGATGCGTATAACTCATGAGTTTCCGAAGATTACTGTGTTGGCTCTCAAGAAACATGCAACAGCCTCCCAGGTTACTGTGTAATCATACTGAAATTACATTATGCTGGACTTTCTTCTCCCACACTGCATACTGCTGTTACATTTAAACTTCCTCAGGGCAAGGACTCTGTCTGTATCTATTTTGTAAGGTGTTATGCAAACATATGGTGTTGTAATAACTAATAAATAATCATGAGTAGGCAGTGGCCTCAAACCGAGGCCAGGAGATCTTTTACACCTATACCATTGCTGGCTGTCGTGTGTTGTACACGTATACTTGTTTGCATACATCGGCGAGCATACACACGTGTGGAAACGCAGTGGTGCGTGCTGGTGGTGGGGGTCATGATGCAGGGGTAAGATCTGTCTCCAGTCCTTTGTCTGGCAATTTTTTACCAAATTAACTGAAAACATTAAACAATTGTATTAACAGGTGACACACTGCCATGCCTGTGTAATTGAGGGAGTAAAATTCTTTTGAATCAAAATTTCGGAAAACAAGTGAATGGTACATTCTGAGCAATTACCTAGTTTTTAAACTGATGGTGCATTTTTGCATCAACGGAGGGAATGAAGTCAGTTCCTTTGAAAATAAATAAATTGTAGGTTTTATGACTCAGATAAAGTAAGTGTGGCGTCCTTGGTGGTGTTTGAACTTAACATAAACTACCAAGCAAGTTACATATCTGCTCTTAAACAATTTTATATTAAAAGAATGAACAAAGTCTTTCATAATTACGTATAGCTCTTCCCGAGCCATGCCTCTTGCACAGATAGCAGAATCTGTTGTGTTTTGCCCACCTGCAAACCCTATCATTGGGTCCTAAAACTGTGAATTAGTGATTTAAGTGAAAAGAGACAAATTTTAGTAAAAGTGAGATGCAGTCCCCTCTGTTTGTCCACTGTTTCTCACGAACACATTTTTCCCGTAGATAGCCAAACTGATAACTACACAGTTCTCTGATTAATTCTGCTAAAAAAGAAAAAGGAGAAGATATGTTTACTGGTGGTATAGATAACTTAGTTCCTCTAACTGTGAGACCATCTGTGACCGTAGTCCCTGCAAAGCTTACCCCTCGTGCCTACGGTTTACTATAGCTGGTAAATCCACATTCAAAGGCAAAACTCCTTTCCTCCCATTTCTGCTTTACCTTGATCCTTATGTTTTCCTCTCAGCGGAGCAGCAAATGCACTATTAAAGCTCCAAAAGGGACTTCTTTGAGCCTAGAAGAGAGGGAGAATAAACTGAAACCACTGTCCTTTGTTTTGCTAAACTGGCATGGTAGCCTGAATCCCTCCCAGGAGGCTTGCTGTGTGTGTAAGGTGTGTAGCTGTTCCTTCCCCTGCCTTCATCTTGCACACTATTCCTCGGACTGGGGAGCCTGATCACTGACATCATCTTCAGAGGCTGCTTCTGGAAACTGCAGTGAAAATCAGTGATGTTCCTCTACAGCTCTGTTTTAGGGAAGGGGGAATAGATGTTCTGTTGCTGTTTTTGCTTAACGGTTAAAGAAGAGCAGATAGAGAAATCTTAACAAAGTATACATTGCTTCACAGTGCTTCAAGCAGCCTAAAAGAAATTATATCTTTTGAAAAGTCATTTGTAAGGTGATGCTGTGTTCATCTGCACCAGTGTCAGGGAGTGGAAATCGATTCAGTCACTCTGCCAAGTGTTGATAACCAGTTACATTGGCCTTTAGATGGCAAATGTGAACTGGGAGATAGGAAGTGGGTACCTGGCGGTCAAAGCTGAGAAAGTTTGTAGAACTAAGTGAAATAATCAGTTTCGTAATTTTGTATTGTTGTGTTTAAGGCATGCTCTGACTAGGTCTTTTTGCCTAACTCCCATTGAAACTAATCGAAGCAATGTGCACAGGAGAGCCAAACAGACTTATAAAGAAGTTTTCCTTATCTTAACACTGTCTGATTAGTGGTTTTTTTCTTCTCTAGGCACCTTAACAATGAACATGCATTGGATGACAGAAGCACTGCTCAGTGTCAACAGGTTTGTTACGTGGATTTATTAACCGAAAGTAAATTGAAAACACTTGCCTTAGTGACTCTAGCTTAAAGCCATATGTTTCTTTCACAGAATTTGTTGATATTCATGAACAAGTAGGTGTTTTTTACTTTTTCACATTATAAATTATGCAATAATTATCTAACATCAGCATTGTCTACAGTATTTTGCTGGAACTGAGACCCTAATGCCATTCATCACGAATGAAAAATGCAGTCCCTGGAGTAGAGACTGGATCCAAGCCGTCTTCAGTTCTTGAAATGCTGGGTCAGGACCCCTCTTCCTTCTCCCCCTTCTGACCCGATGCTTGCCTATGCCGTTCTGCAGGACAAAGGAGTAGCAGAGCGCATCTCCACCCGAAATGGCTCCCAGCCTGATGGTGGGCATTCTTCTGCGAGCAGAAGGTGTAATGTCAGAGCCACTCAGGGAGGTCCCCAGGGAGTCCCACGGCCGGGACCACAGTGCTCGGGGGCCCTGTTCAGGCTCTAACAGTTAGAAGTCACTGCACGTATCTATGAATGCTCTCTCCAGCTTATGGAAGAAGTGCCGAGTACCCCTGGGGTCTCCCAGTGTCGAGGCTACACTTACCAGGCTACGGAGGCTGGGCGCAAACCTTGGCAGTCCAGAATGACCACGTGGGACGCTTGTACCATGTGGTCCCCTCCCGCCTGTGCGGGAGTCCTACGAGAGCATTTCTCGGGAGTCCTGTCCCCTCTTGGGAAGGTGCAGGGGAGCCCAAGGGACCCAGCGAGGGACTGAGTTTTTTTTTCCCCTGCTTGTTGCCATATGTGAAGAAAGAAGGATAAACAGCCGTCAGCTTTCTCACCTTTCAGCATATTGTCTCACTGTTCTCCTGCATGTGAGAATACTTGTTTTTCTTTCAGCCAAGTCAAACTGTTTGGGTCTTTTGTATTTTAATACTGGAAACCCAAAGGAACGAGAGGAGTGTACAATAATGTTATTTATTGTCATTTCTCTTAAAATGAACGCTTTATACGCCCAGGCAAAGCTGCAGTTTCTTTTGTAACATTTACAGGATGGCGTTAGCTTAATTTGTTTGTTAGGAATTTATGTCATGGCAAATGGCATGTCTCTAAAGTGTCACACACAGAATCTGAAGCCTGAGAAGAAACGTTTTTCCCACCACCTGCCTCAAATGTTCTTTAATGAAAGGTGCACTGACCAAATTATATCCAGCATACCCAAAACAGGTGCAGTAATACAGGTAGTTTCCTCTTCTTAAAATGACTTCAAGGTTTCCTTAGTCCACTCTTGGTCTACAGGTGTAACTCTTGAGCTGAATTCATGCAAGAAAGTATTACAGAACTCTCCACAAAATGTCAGTGTTAATCACCAAGTGGTTCTTGTTGCAGTTAATGTTGTAATCATGTTGTAGATATCCAAAGCCACACCACTAGAGTACAATTTCAAGCATTTCTTCTTGCAACCTAGCTTTTGAAAAAAATTATTCTTTTCATGTTTACATTTTCCTCTTTTATGTTCTGATATTTTTATCAAGAATTTATATATTTCAAGCATTTCTCTTTTGTTTTTATTTTGGTAATTTGTTTGAGTCTGAAACTACAAATATTTATGTAGCATATGAGCAGAAAATGGCATCAGTTAGGAAAAAGTACAGGTTTCAGTAACATGGTGCTTTCTAAAGGCAGTTTAAGGGCTTCTTAAGAAGTGTTTACCATTTACAAAGGCTAGGCTGTAATGTAGCAGTCCAAGCGAAGATTTAGCTTGCAGTGTGACCAATTATGCCATTTTTTTTCTTTGTCTGACTGCTAGTGAAGTAAGGTCCATCAGTTGTAATGAGACCCAGTGCAGTGTCGATGCCGACTCGGTGGCAGAGTTCAGCGTTTCACACTGCCTGGGCTCTGTCACTCTATTGAATTAGATTGATGATGGCAGATTGCAGGGGGCACTAACTGGACCTCAGTGGGAAAGGATGAAGTGTGTAGACAATCCTGGCAGGCACTGTGCTTTGAGGACCCTTCACCCCTTCACAGCTGTTGGCACTAGTCCATTGCTAACAGTGTCCACAGGACTTTAAAGAGACACTATGGGCCTTCTAATTTATGGTCTTAGCAACTTGTTACTGTCGAGGCAACTGTGACCTCAATTCTCTTATTGACAAAAAGATGAAGTGTTATTTGTTTTTGCTGACCTTTTAACATATGAAAGGCTATAAAAGTTTTTTGTTGTTTTTTTTTTTCCTTTCTTTCCATGCCCAAAGTTGCATTTCCTCTCAGATAAGTTTCTACTGACATAGACTTTTATATGCAGGAATCATTACACTGAGACAAGCTCAATGATAAGATGTATCACTGCAGTAAAATAGCTGTATCAGTCATTTCTAAAATGCTTCTGATCTCACTCTTTCTTAACAGCTTTCTAAAGAACGCGAACGTCTTCAAGCAATGATGACCCACTTGCACATGCGACCCTCGGAGCCCAAGCCATCTCCAAAACCTGTAAGTGCATATTGCTTTATAAACAGTAAATAGGTCTAGGAATGTAGTAGACTAAGAAAATGAACAATTTAGTGACAGTTGGAAAACAATGAGTGTGATGAAAAATACGGCAATAAAATGGAGGTAAAATGCAATAGCTTGTCAAATTGTATGTTTCTTTAAAAGTAATGCTATCTTTTACAAAATCTATCCAATCTACACCATAGGTGACACTAAACAAAGTACACCTATAAGTGTCCAAATCATTGCCTTGAGGCTGAAACTAGAGAGAATATCTTTTTGTGATAGATTTAGAGATGTTAAAAGGAAACCTACTTTGAACGATTCAAAGTTCAGTGGACTCTGTGGCAGTAAAAAGTAAACACAAAAAGAATCCAGGTGCTTAGGAAATTTCTGAAATTACTTACATGACACACAATTAAACAATCTGTTCTTCTTAAACAAACAAATGAAAATGCTGTTTTATGCAGTGAATTTAAACAATTGTAAACACGGGTGTTTTGCTCAATTTCTGTCAAGACTACAATGTTACGCATCCATTGTGATGTTGCTGGGGTTGGTACAGGCACTGAAAAGTCACTGTCGCTCCCAGCCGCTCCACGGCGCTGCATCAGGCCCCAGTTATGCAGCTGGATCTGCGGTCAGATTCAGAGTCCATTGAACTGAACATACTTTTCACGTAAGCGAAAGTATTGTCTGATGCAGGTCCAGTTTTGTACTGTCAGGGTGTCAGCTGTCGTGGTGCTTACAATATACTGTGCTTAGGCACCCTGCACTTCTAGTAAAAGCTATGTGATACTTTAACTGTTCATTAACGTTAGCTGTGGTGGTAACCTTTGTATGTACAATATGAAAAGGAAATACCAGTACTTGAAGATGAAATGCTGGGGTATCGATGAAAATCTGTGTCTGTCAAAGTCAGGAAATGTAGGCAAAAGGAACATAATCTGTTTTAAAGAGCACACTTGCATATCATGCCCTGTTAATATCTGCGTAGAAGGACAGCATACTCCATCTCTTGTGCTTTCAGCTCCACGTACTTCAAAGAAAATCTTTGTTTGAGGGCACACTTTACAACCTGATGATGAAGAAAGTGTTAGTGTTTTCTTAGCCCCTACCTTTGTGAGAGAAAATTTAGATGCATTATTTTTACTTTCCTTAGCCTAACTAAATTCTGATTTTTATTTTAGATTGTCTGCTAGGGAAGGACATTTGGAAACTTTAATTTTAGTATATATGGCATATATATTAATAAAGCGATCTGAGTGCTTTTTCCATTTCCATGCTTTGTGAAGTTTTTCTGTCATGCAGGCGTCTCAAGCAATTCAGGGTAGGTTCCAAATGCTGCTGAACTGTGTGGGAAAAGGTTTTCAGAACACATTTCTTCTATTTAATTATTTTAACCCCAGATGATCTGTAGTCTATCAAAATTTTTAGAATATTGTTTCTTTACAGTTTTAAGTGACTGTCTCATTTCAATAAT